GCAAGAAATGTCAGCATCGTGGGTGAGGCTGGTGGCCACGGGGGTGGGGGTGGGGGGTGGGGTGGGGAACGCAGCATATTGTGCTCCATTCAGCTGGGGGTACTCACCTAGCCCTTCCTTCACCTGGCCTGGCCTGGCCTGGGACCCGACCCCAGGGGCTTACTCTCCGCCCCTCTCCCAAGAGGGTAAGAGGGTTGCTCAGTCCCCCTTGTTTATGAGCCTTCTGGTTTCTCAGTGGCCCCTGCTTTCTGCAGCCCAGGCTGTTCAGCTTGGCTCCCAAGGAGGTCTTTTTCTCCAGTGAGTGGGTCTGAAGAATGATGGAGCCAGCACTAATCTGGTCCTGCCCCTGCTTACTGAGGAAGGTGCTTGGCGGAGGAGGGGGGTGGGTTGCTCTGACGGGCTGTCCTGCTTGTGATCCGGGCAGGCCCCATCCCAGAGGAGAGCTGGAAGATTACTGCTCCTGGGGCTCCCTGCCCCCTCCTTGCCCCAAAACAAATGCAGGGAAAGCTGGAACTCTCTTCTTTCACCAGGAGACACGTTTCTGTATTTGTGATAGGGAGAGAATGATTTTAAACCTGCATTTTCCAGTGATAACAGGAATACAATCCTATCAGAGAAAATTGGAAAGTCTGAGAACATAAAAGGGAGACCAACCAGTATTCATAACACTACCTGGCGTTTTTGCATATTTTCCCAGTCATATATACTTATTATTCAATAGGTCATACATACTGAACACACTTTGTGTATCTTGCTCTTTTCACTTCGTGTTTTAAACATTTCCCTGTGATGAAAATCTCTCCACGCACCATTTTTAATATCTGCAAAGAAGCCTTTTTTTGAACACGTATTTTAAATAACCTTCTCCTATTTGTTGGACATTTAGGTTGGGTGGAACTTTCGCCATCATGAGGAATTCTGTGATGAACGTCTGTTTATAAACGTTGGCCTGCATTTCGGGTGCCCTCTCCCCCTCTAGATTTCTGGAAGGGAGGTTAATGAGGGGAGTTGTGCGGAGAGGACAGGAAAGAAAATCTCTATGTGGGAGAATTCTCAGCACGAGGTGGCTTTGTTCCTGTCAGCAGAAAGCTGGAAGACGGGCTGGTCTTTTCCACTGTGGAAGGACCCTGGGCTCCCCGCTATCACTTCACCATTCACCAAGCGGTGGCTACTAGGTGTCTTTGCCAGGAATCACCTCTTTTCTGTAGAGATTGGGCCGCACAGTGGGCTTGAGAGGCAGCTGGGGCTGGGATTTCATCGGTTTTTCTCCATCTTGGGGTGGAACGGAAACCCTTCCAGGCACTGGGAGTGTGGTTCTTCTGTGCCCCAGCTATGCAATCCTCAGCGCTATTTCCCCCTTCGGGGCCAGTTACCTCGTGTAAAACAAGCTCGAGGAGGCAGGAGTTGGGATTTGACCAGATTTTGTTATTGTTGCCATTTAGGAGCAGAACCCTCGCTTCAAACTGAATCTTACCAGAACCCCAAACCGTCAAACAGATTAAGGGGCAGCTGTCCTGCAAGAAGGGTGTAGAAGAAGCGTGGGAGCAGGGAGGGGGTGCTCTAGGGCGAAAACTCTGGCCTGAAGGATGGAAGTTTCACAGTCCAGCTCCGTTCCCTTCTCTTCCCTCCTGCTGAAGTTTTTTTTTTTTTTTTTTTTTTTT